TAGGATGTTAATTCTTTTCAAACCAATATTATCCTCCATTTTATATAACTTTTCTTTTGCCTGCCGAGCTTTTTGAGTTGGGGGGAGAAAAAACGGTCAAATCTGATGAAGAGCGATCCTCTGGGACAACAGGTGTCAAGACAAAATTTGAGATAACATGTAACGTTAGAGATAGTGTCATCAAGTGTTCCTTAAACAAGTCCCACCTTGTGTCTTTAAGCATGCCCCTAAGATTCTGAACATCCTCCATAGAGTAACATCCATGTACAGTTTTTTTATTATTTTTGTTATTTTTGATTACAGCTTGATACCACACCGTATTTTCAGTACAAGTGTGGAATTTTCAGCATGGATATCAGTAGCCCAAATTTTGCAGGCCGACCATAGATATCTGGTGTGTGTCGGCAGGGGATGGAACCCTGGACCATGTGCATGATCGGTGAGAGTCCTAACCACAGTGCCACCGACGCACTTGGAAATTTCTGAAAAAGCTCTCTTGAGGACCTTTCCATAATTTTTAGGTAAAACCTGTACAGGAACAGTCTTCTGATGCACGGAGTACACTATAAGGATCGTTACAACTCACAATGATGCTTTTTCTTAAGGTTATTATAAATATGTGAATCAGGTTGAAAACATTTCAAATAATCGCGAGAGTAAGTTTTACGATTTTGACACATAATTGAATAATTAAAACAAAACAAATACAAGTAATTGGATGCATTATTAGTGACGGAAAATCTTGGTAGCCCAAGGTTTAAGCAAGATGATTCAAGAGGATCTGCGGGGTACAAGAAATTCTGCATATGAAGGCAAGGCTTCAGTTGGTACACGCTACCCTTCGGATTATGACTTATAATCAGCGGTTTTTCCGAGGTAGCAACAGTTAAGGAAGCTGATTATTATTTCGGATGAATATACTGGCAGACTACAAATTGCTTAATCCATCCCAATTGAGCAAACTGAAATATATCACATATTCTCGTATATCGCGAAGGTTTCATCCAAGGAACTCTCCATTATTTACTCACTCAATTTTCTTATGTTTTTAGTTTCTTGGTGCATTCCCCAGTTTCCCTAAAATGGGAAACTTTAAGTAAATTTTCTAATAACCAGAGGTTTTTCTTCCCTAATCGTACTTGACGAGACATATACTGAAAACGGTAAGGCAAGTAGATAATGGCGTGGTATGTTCTGTAACTGAGTATTGCAGTTTCTTGTTTTTGAACTAATATAATGCGTTTTAACTGTATAGCCCTGTGGATATAAGTTTTTTACTCGTGATACATTACGAAGTCAGCAATTCAGATATTTTCCCTTCTACACAGGGATAAGTTTTGAGTCTTTTGAGCATATGAACTTACCAACCTCGTGCAAAACATTTGTTTAGGTATAAAGATATGTATATTCATAGAAATAACTAACAGTAAAGACATGAAAGTGTTGCACAGAGTGCCTTCTCTTGAAGTAATTCAAAAACACTTGCTTGTCATCTTTAGGAGTAGATAAACCAAGAAAGATTCTACTCATAAAATGAACAAGATCTCTGTAGGTGATATCATTTTTAGATTCATCCATATCTGCAGTCCTACTCTACAGTATTTCCGAGGTACCTTAATCGATATAATGTGGGTCCTCAAACTAGGATACACAAAACCGATGGAATGTTGACAGCTTAATTTTTTACGAAATGAAAAGCAGAGAAGCCTCAACCAGCAGTGTGTACCACCTGTTCATAATCCAAAAGGAAGATACAACTGGTGTCCAACACAGTTTTCTAAATCTTAGCCAACTCGAGCGTACAGAATGCCTCGCAGCTACAAATGGCGATAATGACTGACTTTGCAGAACTATTATCCTTCCGCTATTCCTATGTCACTTAATGAAATACATTTAATGGCTGTTAGCAGACTGTTCCCACAAGCCTAAGGTAAAAATAAAAGCAATCATGTACACTAATCACAAGCCAAACTAAGTAACTTAAATAATACTTACGAATTATATATGTCCAAACCAAGTAAACTTTTAACGGTTTGAAAAAATTTGGGCATTTGACAACTGAAAATGCCCTCAGACAGACGAACGATGACCAAGTTAGTAAACTTTATTTTGATGTCATAACAGACGTACCTTTGTTATTTGGTTTAGTGATTGATCTTCATTGCCATTTTTACTTTCAATATGTCCCTCTATTTTTTGACCTAAGTCTATTTTCTCACCCCCTAACTGTTTGTTATACATATGCTGAGATTTAGTTAATTCCGGTTTAATAATACTTTGATAAAGCTATTAGCATTAAATAGCGAAACGTCAGTAAAAACAATATCATTTTGTTTTTCATTCATTGGGAAATGCAAAAACCTTTATTATAATGAATACTTACCAATGCCTGTAAAAGACATGAAGAAAAATATTACTAAATACATATCAAACGACATTTATCCAATCAATTACGAGCATGCGAAAGCTTCCATTTTGTATTCTGTCTCCGTTTTTCGTGTTAACAATGGTGAATTTAGTTATGAGTCCTTGGGTTCAGTGTTGCTGAAACATTTCACTGAAGTCCTGCTGACGTATCGGAAACGGTGCAAGGCTCTGACGGCATTTCACACAAGGCCTGGAGATGCAGCCACCTGGATACAAAGTCGAGAATGAAAGCAGATGTGAACTCAGACCATCATATAGTTCAAGGGACCTTCAAGGTGAAGCTGAAATCCCTGAAAACAACTGGAAGCAGACCACCACAATTCAAGTTCAACATTCAGAAACTTTGCTTTACCTTGCTTTATCAATTCATTACCCATGTAATCAATTGTTTTCATCAAAGGCACATAAGTGAATAAGGAAGATGCATCCATTGATATATCATATATTTGTCCTTCACATTAAATCCTTTGATCGTCTCTACAAACTCAAAACTTTCTTTTACGCTATTCTTCACGAGTTACTTTGTAACGGCAGTTGAATGGAATGGCGGGCCAGAAATAATGGGGACTGGTCTAAGTAGCAAGGCGTTTTTCTAAATGAGTAAATTGGAAATTGCTGAAATCAATAAAAGCGCACTTGATCTGATCGCACAGTGAGCACAGCGTTCTCATAATCACTTTAAGTTAGTGACAGAAGTTCCCACCATCGCTTACATAACTCCTCAATTTCTTTTCAATTGATATGATTATGAACAATAAATTTTGTTCGAAACGTCATCCAGTAAATGATACTGTTTCACCGTGTGATATATCTAATAAACAAACTAATATGGAATTACTTACTACCACAGTGCCCAAGTTTTACACATACATTAATGAGTTTAGGGATATTTTCACGGTATGATAAGGTTAAGGAAAGATAAAGGTTATTCCTTAAGTTAGAAGACTAGACATTCACATTCACAGAATGCGGTTAAACTACTCTGTTGATAATCCAACTCAAAACTGAGAGGTATTTTAGTCACACGTCAGAAAAAGTTACTCTGTGTAACAGTGTCATTCCTATAATTACATTACTTGACAACAACAATCAATAGACACCAATGTTAAGTGACCTTGAATCTACCAGTTATATTCTTCCTGTTGAAAAGTAGCATCTGCCTAATAAGAGTTTATTTATAGGACATATATGTGGTGAAACTGAATTTTACAGTGCATATGTCTCTAAGATGTTGTAGAAACTGGTCCCAGTTTATCATAGGAGTGTCCGTAGACATATCAAACCAATGACGATTCAAAAGTTCAACAGTGGCTGTGTATCATATCATATCGGGAGCCATTTACTATCATAAAACATTTTTTTAGATGGACCTAGACTCCTTCACTAGATTTTATATGAGTTCCACTTAAAGGATCTACAAATTCAGAAAAATAGTTGACTTTGTGATGAACATAGTCTAGTGATGATAGCTGTGCATAAACTTTCCACTGTAGTGTGTGAATGGCAGTTTTCAGTCTTTGTATCATCAGTATTAAAACATCTGTGCGAAACTTGCAACGAAAACTATTAGCATCCATGTATAATGCCAAGCCATCTTACTGGTCGATTCACGGCCATTCGACTTTGATGTCCATTCCTTATTGTTGCCCATTATTTTCATGAATACATGTACTTCATGCGCACAAATCGCTTATATCGTTTGTATGATGCTATCATCTGTACGTTGGTACTTACTGATGCTTAATGTTCAATTTTTCCCTTATAGGAGTCCCTGAAGTCAGATTAGACCAATTTCTGATCATCAATTTACCGATAAAACTGTAAATTATCTTGTTTCTTGAGTCATTCATCACCCTGATTCTATTTTTTTGGTGACTATAGAAACTGCCGAAGAAATTTGTGTCAGTCTCATGGATAGAATTAGTGAAATCGTCCGTACGTTTGACCACGTTGTAAATATAATCAAGGGATTCATTATAATAAAAAAATTTTTTGTATTTCCTAATGAATAAAAAACCAAATGATTTCGTATTTACTGGCGTTTCGCTATTTAATGCTATTAACCTTACCAAGGTATTATATAGTCAAGGGATGACAGTTCGCTACACTTTTCTCCACTCCAATGAACCTGTTGTCCAAGTAGTAGCTAAATACTAAATGTGTATAAGGTTCTCTGCATAATTTGCGTACATAATTAAGCCTACTTACTACGGACTCATCTGACTGGTTGGTAAAAGTCATTATACTCATTCACTAGGTAGCTTCCTTATGGGCCGCTTTAGTTTAGAGTCGCCCTTAAACTTAAGAAAACATAACGCTCACTAAGAGTATAGATTTTAAGAAAAAATACCTGGAGGATAAGCACAATACCGTGTCCTCCGTCGGCAATTTATCAGAGGTAAGCATGATTTGATTTGGAATTATCTTTAATTGTGGTCCCTAAATCTGATTATTTCTTTAAGGTCAGCTTTGGAAGATCTTTATTTAGGCTATGATAGTTCAACTTCCCCATACTCCATCAAAATGTCCAAGGTCTATTTTTATATCAAGAAGGATTTGACTGGTAACGATGTTTTTAACGTTAGTATGAGTGCTTCAAGGTCGTTTTTGGGTTGTCCTTGACTTTGGCTGCTATAATTTAACTGTTCCTATTCGCAATTTATTTGCTGCATCTGCAGCAAAGTTTGTGTGGATTTTGCATTTTCTCTTGATGTCTGTTGCGTAGCACTGCTGAGGATTATTAATAATTCAAGCACATATTTATCAAAGTTCAACGACTTCTCAGCAACATATCAGAGATCTCAGGATTGTTAATTTTGGTGATTTTGGATTGCATCCTTACAGAAGCAGGATAAATATGGTTAACAGATTTCACCGCATAAATCCTTTCGATGGCAGCGTACAGGAGAATCAGAGTGCGATTTCAGCTTTATATGATGGTAGTTTAAATCAAACTTCTAAATATTTTAGCTCAAACGGGTATAAAAAATGTGGAAAAAGGTTTCTCAGAATCTATGTCTAACGACTATTTCAGCGTCCCATTTGTAAGTTTATTGTTTTTGAAAAACCCAATCCTAACAAATATACATTCCGTCCAGATACACATTAATGAGACCTCCACAGTGGAAGATTTGGAAGATGCAATTCTCAAGTGTAAACATATGTTTTTGGCCTTGTCAAAGGAGTCATCGGAAAAAAAAGAGCGCCTCTTAGATCGATTAATTGAGTTAAGAAGGATTTTACAAGATGTTAAAGTAAGCCATGTAATTATTGTTATTCCATTTAATCGCAGATAAACGTAATAAATATCTTATTTTAATGAACACAATAGGAAGTCTGACTAATTATTCAGACTTGTGACTCATACAGAATTTATGAGTGATACAATGTTTTTCCGCAAAGTCACTTTTAGTGATAATGAGTCATACACATCTGCATTAAGTTACTGAGTGAGGCATCAAGTATCTCGCCCATCCCATTAGTGCAGCAGTTTAACGGGAGCCTAGGGAATCCTTTGTATGCATCCTCATATTTCACCTTACACCTACTTACCAGGGCTGATACAATTTCTATAATAATCGAATGGGTCGACATGGTTCACCAGTCTTCTCCGTGTAGTCTAATCAGATATTGACTCAAGTTAGTTCTAAAGGAACAGTTTTGCATACAGGCTTTGACATACACGTCGTGGCAGTGTTGACAGTTTCTCAGTCAAATGAGGCACTTTTCGCAACATAGGGAAATGGAAACGTAGAAAAAGTTGAAATAATCAGTGCTTGTAATCAGTAAACGGAAATCATATCTGATGCCTATATCCCCTCTAAAATTTTGGTCAGTTTATTCAGAATTCCGTGCTCTAATTATAGATTATTATTACGCGTGAAACTTCAACAAATGTTCATTAGTTTTCAAAAATATAAATTGATTACTGAGGGAATGAACTGTTATGGACAGGCGATTAGAACATTTGTTATTCTTGTGAAGCTTTTATTTATTCTTGTGCGGTATTTTAATTATATTAGGTCTAAGTTGAAAACATCTAAAAACAATCAAACTAAAACACTAATAAATGTAACTCTGACCACCAGATGACTGCATTATGTGGGTGAAGATATGAGTAGATATGGCTCCAGATGGATTACAGACACATTTAAATACTCCCTTCTTTTGAATTCTAAGGGTTTCACTTTTACTTCCGGTTAATAAATATATCAACTTTTGGTTCGTTTGTGGCTGCCAGCAATTGTGCATATGCTGTTCACTTCAGCTTCTAACCTTTAATTGACTGTTACCTTTGAGTTGGCGTAAATCTGAAGTTGGTTAGTAATTAATGTGCCTACTTTGTTCAGTAAAGTTTTGTTTGATTGTGTTTGGTTTAACTGATCCTTTTGTTTTTTGTTTGGTTGCAAAGGAATTCTCTGGTATGTCTACAAACTCAAGTCGGCATAGCCTTGGATGTACTCCGGCAGGTGTCCTAAATACATCATCAATTTCACGAAATTTATCCCAAGTATCATTACCTAGTTTGTCTTATCAGACAATAAGTCCAGAAGGATCTCGTTCCTCATTACGACATACGTCATATCCTGGTGGCCATGATTTCCAAATGGTTTCGGCTATACGTCACTTAGGAAGAACTTGTGAATGTTGTGGACGTATTGTTCGCCGTCCAACTGGTAAGATATTCTCATGCCGAACATGCCACATTATATGTCACTTTGATGGTTGTCTTAATAGCTTGGTACGTAGGTGTCCAGGTGCACCGCATTTATCCAGCACAGTATCTGGGTGTTATTTGGGCTTTCGGCGCCTGCGAACTGAAAGTGAAAGTGGTGCCCACAAAACTTCAGGTTTATCCCCTACTGTTAATTTTCCTGACCTGAGACACCGAATTTCCTTCAAGTATTTGGACGTTTCCAATCTGTCCTTCATCTCAGCAAATCTAACATCTCAGTCTTGGACGTGTGCAGAATGCTCAAAACCTATCAATTTTTCACCCTCAGATGCAGTTTTGCCAAGACGTTTGAATAAATCCAATTGTGCTAAAGCTATTAATGAAGTTCTTGAAAGAGGTATCGGAGCGCTTGTCGGGAAAGCTTTTGAGGATTTGTTACCGAAATCCGACAATGTCGATCAAATGACTCCTCAAATAAGTTCTCAACAACCATCTTTGTCTGCTTACTTAATGAAGTTTGTTTCTCCTGAGTTATTTATGGCAGATTCCAATCAGTTGAATGATCCTTTAAAACACTATGCAATTTCTGCTTCAAATGTTACTTTTGAGCCAATACAAACATGGTATGATGCATGTGTTATGCAGGCGTTCAAAAAGGTTAGTCGTCCGATTCCGTCGTCTCTATTAATAGACATTCAAAACGGTCATTTAAAATTTGACAAGCCATCCAGCGTTTCAAACTTGTTAGAAAATTCTAGTTCAGACTCTCCCTATACATTGGATTCCGCCCACCTATGCTACTACTCAGGTTATTTCTATTGTTCTAAGTGTCACTGGGGAGATACGTTTCAAATACCAGCTTGCATGTTTGTTATGGGTGATTATAAGGCTAAACCGGTAAGCCCTGTAATTTTACATTTCGTTACGTACTGAATATGTAAAGTGATAAAGTTTTGACCAACCGAATTTTTTTCCAATAATAGAGAGTGTCATATAGTTCATTATTGAGAAATAATTTATGAACCTAAAACCTAGTAAATGTGCCATTACAACTTAATTCACAGTAACTTAGGAAAACGTCATTTTATTTGATCCTGAGGAGACCGATATATTGTTTACTTCCAGAGACAATATTTCTACAGGTAGGGAATAAAGTTAACAAGCCAGTGCTATCTTCAAGCAAAAACTTTCAAATTTACTCCCCATGAAACTGATATTCTTTTCAAACAAGCATGCTTTTACCTGTAGTGTATTTTTTGATTCCTGAATAACGATTCTGTTATCTGTTAGGGAAACAAAAAAAGCGAAATTGTCCATAAGTCAGGCATACCTTTGCAAGCTCTATGAGTTCGTTTGTCAGCAGTTTATATATATGGATGTAACGTAGGATACGTGGTGCAATTTGCCTGTAAGAAAAACATGCTCTTATAACTTAAGCAAGGATTCGCCTTATATTAATTCTCAAAATACTTTCTGTCGGACCTGACAACCTGCAGTTACAGTTATTCAGAAGAAATGCCATTTTTATCTAATATTATAACTTTTGCATATTTCTAAACGAAGAGATTGCTAAACAAAGAATAGTGGAGTCGGCGTCAATTTATTTTTTGTTGCTTTGTGAAGATTTCCTGGCTAGATTTCTTGATACTTTATATATATATATATATATATATTTATATATATGCGATTTTTTGTTTAGGTATGCAGAACGTCATACCTGTGGCTGAATTATGCTTGGTCTCGTCACTTATTCCGCGTTCCTCTTTCGTGGTATTATCATGAACCTTTAGCCAGACAAGTATGTTCACTTCGTTCAAGGATTTTCAGACTTCAACCTTATTTTAACGTTTGTTCAGATGCCAAAAGATATGCTTCCGACATTGAAGTAAGTGCTTCGTAGTGTATTTTTGTTTTATGACATTTCTGATTATTTGTTACACTTTAAATTTTTATTCTTGCATTGAACTTGTGTTTTAGATGAATATAGTTGTACAGTGTTGCCTTAGTGGTTCGGTGGTAGAATGCTTGCCAATCACGAATGTGGTCCGTGGCTGACGCACTCCTAAACCTCGTTAAGCTGGTAATAAGAGAGGTAGAGAGGAAAGGTTGGGCACGAGCTAGCAACCTCACCCCGTAAAAACAAACACCACTGCTACCGAAGCCCTATGTTCCACTAAGAACGTTAGGGAATGAAATAAAATTCATGGATAATCCCCATCCAGGCATTAATGATAACAAAACACGTAGATCAGCGAAGAGTTTCTTTACGGCGAATTCATTTTCTTAGCTGTACAATCGCAAATATATGTGTTATTTTGTATTTATGTGTACATTAAAATAACTATAACCAATTGTATTTTGTATGACAAACTTAATGTACACATACATACAAAATAACATATATATTTGCGGTTGTACAGCTAAGAAAATGAATTCGCCGAAAAGAGACTCTTCGCTGATCTACGTGTTTTGTTTTCATTAATAAAATAAAAGCAAGATAATAAAGCCATACAGCTGAGTCGAAAATTCATATATCAGTAGTGTAGTGTAACGGTAGAAGACAAGAGACTTGGTAACGAAATGTTTATTTCGTATTTGATATCTCTATATAGGGAAATCATGTGCACCTTATCTCCAAATTGTCATTTGCATAGGTTTTTCGTGTTGTGCTATTTCTACCCTTCATATTGTGTTTCTCTGTCATTTTTCCCATGTTTTGTCGCAGTACTTGTTCATTTCCTGACTGATGTCAAATCTATTACTCCGTTATTTTATGTTTTTGTGTCAATGAACGTCTCTTTATATAATACTGATAAATCTTGTCAGTAACACGCCATAATAGTACTATTATAGAAAACGATAGTAAAGTGATAGTTCGTCTGTTGGAGTAAGACATATATATACCTAACATTGTTATTAAGTAGAAGCGTTACAGTCTTATTTATGAATATGAGTTATAAAATAATCACGACCATTTGTCGTAAAGAACATAACAAAACAACGGATTATTCTATTAATAATACATGTAATAAAACAAGCATATATCGGATTCATTTTAATAGACCCCTGACAAAAACACGGTGTTTAGTACTGAATTATGTAACGTTCAATGTTACTCAAAATCCCCTGAGGAAGTCGGAAATTCATGATGATTCAAGAAAAGTCAGTTAATTATGTTCACAAATGCCAGTCTCGGTTTTTTGATGAAATCAAAAGGAAATGTTCCAGGAAGGTCTAAGAATAAAAAAAGTTTATGTATTTATTTATGTATATACACTAGCAATTAAATTTATGTCATCTGGTCACTCAGTGAATTAATGGTAACAACTGCTGTTGTGTGAATGTGTCATTGACTTAAGCACTCGGTTTTCAGCCAAACGAATGGTTCACAAGTTTGAGTCTCACTCCACCTACTTCAGTCTCAGCAACTGAGTAGTGTTGTCAGCTGTCACACGATAAAGATTGCTCTTAACCTGATACACATAAAGTCTGCTCCAGACAAGTTAGTTCAAACCAAAAAAACTTCTCAAGAATTTGAAGTTATGAAAACGTGTATGAAGAGACCTCGACACACCCAGATTTCCCCATACTCAAGAGATGCAGGTTTGTTGTTTAGTAATTAAATTTCAGTATGCAAAACCTACATCTCATTTCTTTGCTGTAAAATTTCTTTGTTCTTACCCTTTAAGGAATATGGTCTTGAGTGGTTTCTTGAACAACCGTTTACATTTACTATGGATTTAGTAAGTCAGGTATTAAACGGGAAGTTGATTATGAAGTTAAAAAACCTTTTATCGAAAGTTGATGAACATATTGGAGAATGTCAGGTAAGGTTTATACTATTCAGTAATTTGCACATAACATTAATTTTACTTTATATATATATATATATATATATATATGCATAGGCAGGGAGAGTTTATCGGTCCTGTTACTTAAGAGGTAGCTCATAAGAAAAGTTACTATATGAGGCAAAAAATGTACAGAGACTGAGGACCTCTGGAATTATATTAGGGGCATGAAACTATCGTTTACACTGAAATAAGACAATTAGTTTTATAAAAAGACCGGGTAGATCAGATATCAGTGTAGAAAGTTATCAAAGGTGTAAGGACTTTGAAATAATACGATGAAGACCTGCAACCTGAAAGTTTTCTATTTGTTAAATTCAGTGGTTAAAGGGAAGTGATGATTACAATGTTTAAAAATAATTGCCTTTAATTTTACTGGAGACCTTCAATATCTCGCCAGAATGCATCCATTTATTTTCGTGTGCCACCTTCTTTACTTTAACGCCTCATTCTGAGTTATTTCAGAAAGTAAGATAATTGAAGAAAATGGCTTTTTATCCTAAATTTTACGTTATTTCTGTCTGTCTCACAGTGGAAGTAGTGAAAGAAGATGCTCCCAGCTGGGATTATACCAATTAGAATTCTCATCAAATTTCACTTTCACTAACTTATCGAAACTATTTTTCGTTCTTTAATCATGCTTTGTTCCGTTTCCCACGTCTTGTTTATGCAATTTAGATATGTAAAACATATGTGCCAAGTTATTGTACAGTTTGCAATGAAGGACCTGTGCGTCCTCATGACTTGAAAATGACGTTTTGTAATCGATGTAACAAATCATGTCACCGGTAAGTTAGACATTTTCACTATTATGCTGGAAATAGTTTTTATTTATTTATTTAGGATGTATTAAGTAATCTTTAACAGTGGTAGTTAATATTTTTACCTTCTAACAGACATCTTACTTGGTAAATACCTCTAATTTTCGGTGTATTTTATCTTGTTTGTGTGACGTATCAATTATGGTTAAAAATTATCGGTGACGAAGTGGTTAGCACATGCTAACTAACATTCTATTAAAATAGATGACCAAATTCACCTCATTTATTTTCATATGTTCATTCACTTTTTGGTACATCGTGTAACAAATTATTGACTATTTATAGATGGATTGTAAAATCTCAGCTGCTACATTTCTAGATTCTGACATGATACTGACAAGGGTGTTAAGCGTAACATAAAAGTTTCATTTAGCTAATACTATTTGCGACTGTACAGCTAAGTGAATGAATTCGCCGAAAAGAGACTCTTCGCTGAACTAATTTGTTCTTATTTCAATGTCTTAATGGGTATATTTCGCGAATACTAATTTTCTTGAGGAAATAGAATAACAGAAATCTTCAGTGTGGAGGTCTTTGAAAAGCTGTCTTGCCTTCAACAGACTGAGAAATCACATAAGAGAATCTAAACAACATACTTGAAAGCGTTCAAAATTTCACACTTAATACAACTATTTCTATAAAGTAAGTCTAAATTTGTCAGTGTCTGCTAATAGATGTATTCGTCGAAAATGAGAACCTTGCTTGCCTACTTCTACTACTGTTTTACTTAAAAAATTTCTGAAGACAATGTTAGCGTGGTTAGTTCTAGTAACATAACACGAATATCCTTCATAAATTCTCAAAAAACCTGAAATATAATATGAAGTAAGTACATTCTATCCATCGTGAACAATTTCAAGCCATGTGACTAATAGCCTTTTGTAATACTACTTTCTCATTTTAACTATAGTGTTTTACTATAACTGCACGTATTTAAGGGGAGATGTTTTGTTATTCTGTTGAATCTACATAAAGTATACAAGGACTTGCAGGGCAGAAATATTGTCAAAATTATTTTGCAGTTTTTTTAATGCATGAAAATATAAAATATCTCACATGTGTTTTTTCCCTGAATTTGTTATAGATCTTGTTTATCAGTACCGCTACCGGTTGATTTGAAAAACACCTCGTCTTTTGCAGAAATTCATAAAACGTACGAGCTTTTAGAATCTGATTCTGATTGGGATCGAATTCAAGATGAATGGATTGAAGTACTTTATCCTTGCTTGTGTGTATCGTGTAGGCAATGCGGTTCACCCTAAGTTGTCTTCCATTCTGTTGACCCTGTGTGAACTTCTGTTCTTTCGCAGTTTTTGACATCCCATTATATCTTAATTTATCTTCATAACAGTATTGTACGGGAATTTTTGTGTACATTCAGTGGATTTCCTTTAATTTATTCTTTTTTTTTTTACTGATTTACTCGCTGTGATATGTAATATAAATTGGGAATTAAATTCGTTACTCCTTAATAGAATCATTTGTTTCATCCATTTCCTTTTGTTTATTAGATAAGCATTGTAAAGTAAACAGTTGTACTTTTTAACTCAACTAACTGGCTTTTGGAGTAAGTCTGAAGTACTGTTTCAATATAAGTCAGTTAAATAAGTACTTGCGTTTTCTAAAACAATAAGCGATATGTAATGTTCTGAAATTTTCAGTAAAGCTTCTATAATATATCAGCGTCTAAACTTTTGCATGAGGTTGTAAATGATTCATATTTAGGCACCTGTCACGTTTCATGTTTATTTCGTACGAAAACACCATTTAAAAAAATCATAGATTGATTGGTTGGAAGATTTCATCATGAGCTGATATCAGCTAGAGAACCAGTGGAAAACCTGGGAGTACTTGACAACTGTTTCACCTCAGTCTGGGACTCTTCGTCAGTAAGCACCCACACTACGGCGTTCGAACCTAGGACCTCCTGATTACAAGGCGAGCTCGTAGACCATTAAACCACTGGGACCCGATCCAATGGCCCATGAATTCTAACTTCTGCCAATTCATGACATAACGTGACCACTTCGCAGGACTACGGATTGAAATGTTGACATTGTCGCATATTTCTAACACTAAGTTTCAAACAAACGAATTGTTCACTTCTCATTCGGCGTGCTGACTAATTGACTCCATGCGTCTATACAAAGTAAAATTTCAGTTTAATGGCTTGTTATGTGTGGTGCATCTCACGAAATGTCCGGATGAGTGTACAATCGGGAAAATTCACTAACCTTTCTCCTGTTCATTGTAGTTCCTTTCAATGGTTTACTGTACTTTTATGCGATATATGGAGTATGGCAACTTGAACTGCTGCATTCCTGTTCAGAGTTCCACAGTGAAAACTTGGTCAGTCTGAAGAATTAATGAAATCGATGCTATTCTTCATGTATAAAATCTTCCAACACCCTGTTGAATAACTACCGAAAATTGAGCTTACAACTCAAAATTCCATCTGCCTGGTATTAGTAGTATTTTAAAAAGTCTGTTTACCGTCTTTTCAATTATGATTAGTTTCCCACTGGAGAAAGTTTGTGTATTACCCGTAGCTTTCCTACAGTTTACATCAGGACACGGGAATCAATCTGTAAATGTTAATTTAAGGTTGTAAATTAATAACATAAAGTGTCACTATAATTCCGAATTTCATACAGGTTAACTTACTTCACAGAAATGAAGACCTTCTTCTATAAACTAGAATGTTTCATTAGGTCGCAACTTAAAACACCGTTGTTTATTTAAAGATAATACATAGTAAATTGTCGTTTAGGGGAAATTTTCCCATTCTATTACTGTCACTGAAGTAAATTTTAATAATTGTTGCAGTGAACGCACCTTCAGTAGACACAAAAAGGTGGACCGGCTTTGTTTAGTGTTTGCTATCCCATGAGACGTGACTGTAGTATTTGTTGTAGTATTATTGTTGGTGTAAATGTCGATACATGCTCAGCGTTGTGATTATTTGTATTTCTGCTACAAATGTAATCGTAATTAGCTATTACAGTTAACTATCTAGGTATTAAGTTTTATGGTATAAAGTTTTAATTGCGACCAAATATCATAGAAATTACTGGTTTGTTTCTCGGTAGACATTATTTCTGAAACATTTGGCAAAGTTTTACATGAATATATAAAGTACTCACTTCCAGTAAAATTGACTGACGGAGAAATCAGTGTAGTTTTGCCTACATGTGTGTCATTTTAAGTTATCGCAAATGAAAGTGTATTACTTTGAAGCAATGTATAGGAGATGAAATAGTCTGATGAAGAGTTATAAAATTCGCACTTTTGAAGAGGTCAAGGACTGATTAGATCCTTGCAGTCTGTGACCATTGAATCATAGTATCGATAAAACTTTAAGTCAGGAATCCTACGACTGATATTCTCTGCCATAATGTAAGCTGTATAGCTAAACTTCCAACACTCTCCCAACCTAATTCCACTTCAAATTCTTATAAGCAGATGACTGACTACATGTAACAAATAAAAAGGGGCTTAAACAGTGGATACCGCCAAACTCTCCGATTGAATTATGCACCTCGTCTGACACTTGATCTTCCTGAATTACCATGTGAGTAACTGGACGAAGAGTCATTGGTTATAAGCCTGTAGTCTCTGTGTCATTTTTCAATCACTATGTCTATCACCCATAGAACTGAACTTTCTTGCAATGCAAACACCTCTTAGCAAGTTACATCGCTGTCACTAAAAGTGGTGTCATTTGAAGACAGACGAAACTAGTATTAGCGTTAGTGTTTTCCTTTTTCACTATTATTAGTCAACTAAGTTGAAATGTAAACTACATTGAACAAACTTTTTGGATATCTAGGGTTACATCCGATTCCAAACAAACCGGGACTTCTTCAGAATTGAATTTCTCAACTTATATTCCTGCTGAGAGATTACTTTTAATGCAGAAATAAGTGAAACATATTAGGTTTTCATTTCTGGTATTAGATGGTTGGAGGCAATCGGCAGGAAGCCTTGGACCTAGGTTTCGTGCTAGTTGGCACTCATCAGCAAGGCGTATCTGCAACCTTGAAGGAACTGATGTCCCTTCTGAGATTCGAACCCGCGTCACCCAGTGCTGCAGTCAGAGACGTTACCACTGAGCTATTCAGGCTCGCGACTGACCTCCTGTAGGACTGTATTGGATATTTTTTTGATTGAACACTAGTCAGTAACTAGTGTAATGTGTCTAGTCCTATCTTCGGTGCAGACTGAATTCTATCAGTCATGTTTGTAATGTGGCCACCATGCTAGGTGGCTCGCCATCACGGTGCACTGTGAATTGTTGGTATTAGATGGTTGGAGGCAATCGGCAGGAAGCCTTGGACCTAGGTTTCGTGCTAGTTGGCACTCATCAGCAAGGCGTATCTGCAACCTTGAAGGAACTGATGTCCCTTCTGAGATTCGAACCCGCGTCACCCAGTGCTGCAGTCAGAGACGTTACCACTGAGCTATTCAGGCTCGCGACTGACCTCCTGTAGGACTGTATTGGATATTTTTTTGATTGAACACTAGTCAGTAACTAGTGTAATGTGTCTAGTCCTATCTTCGGTGCAGACTGAATTCTATCAGTCATGTTTGTAATGTGGCCACCATGCTAGGTGGCTCGCCATCACGGTGCACTGTGAATTGTTGGTATTAGATGGTTGGAGGCAATCGGCAGGAAGCCTTCGACCTAGGTTTCGTGCTAGTTGGCACTCATCAGCAAGGCGTATCTGCAACCTTGAAGGAACTGATGTCCCTTCTGAGATTCGAACCCGCGTCACCCAGTGCTGCAGTCAGAGACGTTACCACTGAGTTATTCAGGCTCGCGACTGACCTCCTGTAGGACTGTATTGGATATTTTTTTGATTGAACACTAGTCAGTAACTAGTGTAATGTGTCTAGTCCTATCTTCGGTGCAGACTGAATTCTATCAGTCATGTTTGTAATGTGGCCACCATGCTAGGTGGCTCGCCATCACGGTGCACTGTGAATTGTTGGTATTAGATGGTTGGAGGCAATCGGCAGGAAGCCTTGGACCTAGGTTTCGTGCTAGTTGGCACTCATCAGCAAGGCGTATCTGCAACCTTGAAGGAACTGATGTCCCTTCTGAGATTCGAACCCGCGTCACCCAGTGCTGCAGTCAGAGACGTTACCACTGAGCTATTCAGGCTCGCGACTGACCTCCTGTAGGACTGTATTGGATATTTTTTTGATTGAACACTAGTCAGTAACTAGTGTAATGTGTCTAGTCCTATCTTCGGTGCAGACTGAATTCTATCAGTCATGTTTGTAATGTGGCCACCATGCTAGGTGGCTCGCCATCACGGTGCACTGTGAATTGTTGGTATTAGATGGTTGGAGGCAATCGGCAGGAAGCCTTGGACCTAGGTTTCGTGCTAGTTGGCACTCATCAGCAAGGCGTATCTGCAACCTTGAAGGAACTGATGTCCCTTCTGAGATTCGAACCCGCGTCACCCAGTGCTGCAGTCAGAGACGTTACCACTGAGCTATTCAGGCTCGCGACTGACCTCCTGTAGGACTGTATTGGATATTTTTTTGATTGAACACTAGTCAGTAACTAGTGTAATGTGTCTAGTCCTATCTTCGGTGCAGACTGAATTCTATCAGTCATGTTTGTAATGTGGCCACCATGCTAGGTGGCTCGCCATCACGGTGCACTGTGAATTGTTGGTATTAGATGGTTGGAGGCAATCGGCAGGAAGCCTTCGACCTAGGTTTCGTGCTAGTTGGCACTCATCAGCAAGGCGTATCTGCAACCTTGAAGGAACTGATGTCCCTTCTGAGATTCGAACCCGCGTCACCCAGTGCTGCAGTCAGAGACGTTACCACTGAGCTATTCAGGCTCGCGACTGACCTCCTGTAGGACTGTATTGGATATTTTTTTGATTGAACACTAGTCAGTAACTAGTGTAATGTGTCTAGTCCTATCTTCGGTGCAGACTGAATTCTATCAGTCATGTTTGTAATGTGGCCACCATGCTAGGTGGCTCGCCATCACGGTGCACTGTGAATTGTTGGTATTAG